TAATTCAATGATCTCAAAAAACTTTTAGGTGATGATGATGATGATGTTTTTTTTTTTTTAATATTTTCTAATAGCATGACAAGATTTGATGCGACCCACATGTAAATATGTATATATGCATATATATAATCAGTGAAGAGTGGAACAGAAGATACCTTTTCTCATTAATAATCAACTTTTCTGCAACAGTAGTACTCAATTATTGATCATCATCTGTTTGTTTCCCTGGAAAAAAAAAATAAATATAACCAAGAAAAATGTCTTCCACACACTCACTCACCCATTACCGACTGATAATAGAGCATGCAACTTTTATGCATGCAGCAATCAACACGTTCAATTCTCACTCTGCCTAACAGTATATGTGTACATATATACATACATTATAATAGTATTAGATTTGGTTTATATATTCATTTCCTAAAATAGAATTAGTTTTAAATAAAAATAACATTAGTTTCCATTTGAAATGTAAAAAAAAAATTTAAATTTTTAGTAATCTTCTGATTTATTTAGAATATAAATCAGAAAATATTGATCTACAGTTAAAAACATTATAGAATTTAAATTGTAGATCACAAAATAGGAAAACATAATTTCGCTTAAACTTATCTATGAATAAATACATGACATTAATTTTAATATATATATATATATATGTGTGTGTGTGTGTGTAGGGAGTGGGAAATTTAAAGAAGATAATTTGATTTGATGTTGTATTTTAAGTGATGGATAGGTGCATCAAACCATAATCTATTGTCATTGACAATAATAAAGTCATAAAGTACGGCCATTTAATATGAATGATTTGAGATATATATATATATATAATTATTATTATTCAGAAAATAATTATTAATATATATATGTATATATATATATATGTTTGCTGGAAGATTCTAAGTATGAGCTAGCAACAAATATGAAAGGGAAAACAAGAGGCTTGTTGGACTTGATAAAGGTTAAGTTTAACAGAAGAAATTTGAGAGCGAGAAGGTTGAAATAATGTTCTTATTGAAAATGAAAACAACCTTTTTAAGCTTTGTATAGAAAGAGAGAGTGTTTGGTTGGTGAGAAAATAATAAATACACAAGTCTAGTGCCAGATCATTAGAAAGTTAGATACGAGATAACGTGGACGTATATACAATAAATGAGGGGAGTAGGACCATATCACCAATCAACCCATTTATTTTTATATGGAAAAAGTAATTACCCATTAATTTAATTTTCAAAAATAGATCATATATATGTATATATATATATATATACACTATGACGTATGAACGATACACAGTGAGTACAAAGAATATCCTCCACCTAATTTGCAATTGAGTCCGTGAATTGTCCACTCATACATTCACATATGTATTCGTGTATATACATATAGATATACATACATAATCCTCTTTCTATCTATTCGCTTAGAAAAGGTTCAAAGTGAGAGGAACTGAAATTAATTGCATGGGAACATAGGAAGCGACGTCTTGTGATGTATACAGAAGACGATGACCTTTGTGGTTGTGGTTGATCATGCCACACGAGAGATTATACATATGTATACATGTAGATGTACGTATATGTGTACGTATATAATAGCAACAAAGTTTTGAGTCTTCCTTTAACCGACTGACACTTTGTACTTATTATCTGTAATGGACTTTTTTTTTTAAGTTTTGTTGACCTGGGTCGTCTCGATGATATGGCTGTGCGAATGAATGTGTACATATATCAAGGTATATATATATATATATATATGTGTGTGTGTGTGTGTGTGTGTGAATACCTTGCTTTTTTTAATTTTGACTCCTTTGAAAACCCAATACACAAACAAAAATAACCCACCTACATCGTTGCTAATTTTTCTTTCCATGCTCTGTTGATGTGTGTACTTATATACACATATATATATACACACACATGTACACATGTATGTATACATATATATGTTTTTATTAAATGAACTAAGAAATGGCACTTTCATTTTAGAAATTAATGTCGTCGCGAAACAGATCGTAATAACACTTTCTTTTGTAATAATTCCAAAAAGAAAATGATGGGTATTTCCTTTCACATTAAACAAATTTTGGAGTCAATATGTATTACACATATATATATATATGTATGTGTGTGTGTGTGTGTGTATATATATGTGTGTATATGCGCACACACATAGAGAGAGTTTGCTAATATTTAAATGACCAATAATAATATATAATCAGAAATTAGTAAAAGAATTATCAAAATCTTTAAAAGAAAAAGGTAGGTAGAACTGATTACGCCTACTCCAAATACATTTACTAAACTCTTCATTATTTATTATTTAATGGCATTACTAGTTTGTAACTTTGATTTTTTTTTTATGAATAAAAGGTTATGTCAAAATTTACTTAATTATGAGAATTTATCTTAATTTTGATCACCGTAATTCATTAACACATTAATAAATTAAGTTTTCGATATTAATTCATAATATGTATATAAAATAATAAATTATACATATTTATTGAAATTCAAATTTTGAAATTTTGAGAACAAGATAGGTATCACCCATTAACTTTATATTTGAGATTCATCTAAATTTGTATTTCATATTTTCGTATTAAAATAAACCTCTTTGTTCATAAGTTAATTTTATATCCATAAGAAATTCAAACAATAAATTTCTTATTGTAATTTTTAAATTTTACAATAAGAAATGTTTAAGTCTACAATATACGTAAAATGTTTATATGTACTCTTACATTAATGTATGTATGTTTATGTAAGATTTTCTGATCTATTTCTAGATAAATTATTAAATTAGATTTTCAAATTTATTTTTACTAAATAATTAAATTAAAAAGTCAACAATAAATTATTATTTATTTATTTAGTAAAAGACATTCTTTTAAAATACTTTTTAAAACATCAAAATATTATCTAATTATTTTAATTTTTAATTAGAAAATAAAAAATTACAATATTTAAAATAAACAAAAAATGTTAATTATTAAATAAAATAAAATAATAATGATCAAATCATAACAAATTTAATAATTTACTTTTTTAATTTTTTTTCTGGTTAATTTACAAATAATATTCAAAATTTATAGTATCAGTATATATACGTGTGTATATATATATATATATATATAATTGTAAAGTTATAGAACAAGTTGGTTGGATCAATTTTAACCTTGATCTAAAAATGTCACCTTCATACATCAATAATTTAGTTTGGAACAACTGGAATCTGAAACTTTGAATTTGAACAAGCTATATAGGATGGATAATAATAGTCAGTATATATGCTATTCATCAAATCAACACGACATGTGACTGTGGGCTCCTTTAATTTTTCAACTCATCCATTTTATCTCTGCTTACCCACAACTATATTCAATTCCAAATATACTAATATATAATAATAGTCAGTACATCAAACTGTACTACCTGACCGTATTAAAATATGTGTTCATAAAATAGGAATTGATTAGGCCGTAGAGTCGTAAAAACAATGTTCTTTTTTTTTTTTATTTTAGACCTTAGTTCTATGGAACAATATATTACAACCGAAACATAGAAGAAATTAAATTGAATTATCAACTGTTGAAAAAGAATGTATGTTATTGGGCTAACTTGGTAGGAGAAGCAAGCATTATTTTTGTGCCCCAATTAGGGTATGGTCATGGGCCTACCAAAAAACAACCCACAAATTGAACTTTGCCTTTTGTAAAAGGGCCGATAAGGCTATGAATTTGTCGTAGCAGTGGACTGATTTATGGTGTATGTTGAGGTAATTTGGGACCCAAAAGATTAAGATAATTTAGTACTACTATAAGGACGTGGGTGGCACCATTTATATAATATATATATATATATATATGTAATCGTTACATTGGCCCATTTTGATTATATTTGGTTTTCATTGTGACCCACAAGAATTTTCAAATTCAACTTTTTTTAAAAAAAATTATATAATTTTTTGACATGTTTCTTTGATTGGTTAAACAATATAGCAAGTGGCTATAAATAATTATGAATTAGATGTTGTTGTGGAAAATATAATTCAATTATTGGTTCTCACGCTAATGACTTTGAATTGAGAATTTTCTGAATTTTTTACCCTTTTTTTTTGTTATATTATATATAATAGAGAATTAAAAATTTAATTTACTTATGGGAAAATATTTGAGATAATGGCACAAATTGTATACTTTTAAAAATGGATAAGAACATGTGGGGTGATAAATACCATTTACATAAACACACGATTAACTTCAAGGGATTATTTTGTTAATAAGTAATCTTCATTTGTATGTTAAATATATATATACTTACTATTATCACTAAACTAATAACTTAAGTAATTCATAAAATAAAATTTAGAGTGACTTAATTATTAATATTAGTAGATTATCACCGACAGATAAGTCATTTCCCATTTTGGTTATATATATACACGAGTATTTTGTTTATTAGGTATATATTTAATTTTGATAAGATTAAAAAAAAAAAAAAAAAAGGTAAATCCATAAATAAATAAACTCATGGGTGGTCTCCGTTGTGATTAATTAAACCAAATTAGGAAGTTGATTAGGATCCTTTAAAAGAAAACGTAGCTAACGCCTAACTCAACCGCCAAAAGAAGGCGTCAAAACCCAGTCAAATTCCCGAATATTCCGGGTGAACCAATCATTCCATCTTCGTCGTAGATAACGGAAGCCATCCAGGGGTATTTTGGTAAACCCGTCAAACCAAACCCTTCCTTCTCTGTCTCAAATCCGGACCGCCCGATCTACACATAATGACCAATCGACGGTCCCAAATCTCTGTTTGACTAAAGTACAGAAAATGAGGCTGGAATGATTTGCCTTTGATCCACCATTGACCACCAAAAATCAAAACAAAAAGACACTTGGTGGCTTTATAGAGCAACCTTTGAGAAAGATCTTGTTTTGCTTTCTTTTTTTTTTTTTTTTTTTTAAATTTTTATTTTTTCTTTAGATTTTGATAACATAATTATTTGTGGAGTGGGGTGTGTGGGAGGGTTTTGTTTTGGCTGTGTTGAACGCTGAGGAGGAGGAGGAGGAGGAGAGAGAGAGAGCTGTGCTTCTCTCTCTTCTGGTTAAGCGAATTCCATCTTCTGTAATTTTTGTGGGATTTTGTTTTTTCTTTTGGGGGTTTTAGGGTTTGTTTCTTGTGGGAAAGATGAATATGATGCGTCGGCTCAAGAGCATTGCTTCTGGTCGCTCTTCGATTTCTTCTGATCCCGTAAGTGTCCTTTCTTTTATTTTCTTCAAGCTTCTTTTTTATCCTTCTTCTTTGATTGTTGGGTAAAAAAAAGTTGTTTCGTTGCCGGTAAGATGAATGAATTTGAGATGAAAAACTACGGGAAGAAACGTAACCTTCACTCTACTTCATTTGATTTTTCTTTTTTGTTGTTTACCCTCTTTTTGTGTTATTTTCTGAAGTAAGATTTCCACTTTCCGGGATGCTTTTCCCTAATCAGCTAAACTGAGACGATTTTGGATAATTTATTCTGGAGAAAAGTCATGCAAAAAGCAGTTTCGAGTCTGCATTTTCGGATTCTTGGAAGAAAAATAGAATTTGATATTCATTTCTCTTTGATATGGAGGAAGATTTTTATATAAACACACATCCACATCTGTATATATCCTTCAGGGCTCTTGTTAGGCTTCCGTGAACGAGGTTATTTGTCCGAGCTTTTGCATTATTTGGTGCGTGCTTGTTTCAGATTTTAATGGAGTTTTCTTTGTTTGGCGATTGATGTTGTTTGACATCCCGGTCAATTAGTTTTTGAGGTTATCCCCAGATCAATTCTTGATTGAGGGAAACGTTATTTCAGCTGGGATTCTCATGATGCATCATTGAAACACGTAAATGTGTTTCTTGGATGCCATAGGAACTAGTTATTTGGCTTTTTGAATCAGTAACTATGAGGCTAATCCGTATAGGCTCTTCCTTAGCCGTTGGCTATGGTGAAAATATCACGGTTAGGCTGGTCATTGGTGACACGTCAAGTCTGCATTTTTGGCTTTTTCCTAGGAGTGAATTACATTTTTATAAAGCTTTTGTCTTGTTTTTCTGCTTTAAATAAGAAGGCAGTGACCAAGAGAGAAATTATTTATCAAAGTTGCTACGTTCTTATTGATGTTTAGGCTCTTTTAGGGAGGCTGGGAAGGATGGAAAAGAATAAAAAACGAAGTAAATAAGCTAATCTTGTTTGCAGGAGTCTTTTGTAGTCTGAATGGGAGGGAATAATGAAAATGTTCCATCTTCATACTCCTCTAAGGTGCCAAAACTTGTTTTCTCATAAATTTCAAGAATGGATGGAAATTAATTAAAGTAACAATTATTTGTTATGATGACTTGTTTACCCTTAATGATTTCTTAAAAGCTCAACTGTTCTCTTTTATAAAGGAAAATGATATCATTATCTTTTAAAGGTTAAAAGCTTTTCATTCGTATTTTGCTCTACCCAAATAAGGAAAAGTATAATACTTTCATTATATTTATTTCTTTTATAGTATCTTCTATTCCCTTTTGTTCTGCTCTATTTCTGACTTCCCTTCCTCTTCTCCAAATATACCTTTAAAGCAGTATCTTATCATGAATGTGCTTTCCAATAATGAACTAGTTTATTGGAAAATAATTTATTAAAATTCCCATTGAGATTGTTGCCTCCTTTTCTCCAAATGGGTAGTATTTTATAAACTTTCACCTTAAGGCTAAACTCTCCTTCTTTGGGTTTCAAACGCAACCAACTATTCAGCCTCTTTTTGGTCTCATTGTTTTCATTTCTCCCTGTCAGTTTTTGAGCATTAATCTTAGATGTATTTTTAGAATAATGGACAAGGTGATCCCCAAGAAGGTAGTTGGATAAAGTGGAAAAAGTTCATTATTTCCATTTGAGGGGAGCTTAGATAAGCATTTCAAGATAAACATTAACTTAACGGACGGGAATCTGAACTCTTCTTGGTCATAGTTTTTTTTTTTATACTTCTTTTTCAATTTATCCTGATGAAACTGAATTTCAACATATATAGGGTGGGGATTCTGGCACAAAGAGGGTGAAGATTGAGCAAGATATGGAACAAAAAATCCAAGCAGAATCAACATCAGTTGAAAGAAGTGCCACTGGTCTAGAGCAGCATATGGCCTCAACATCGCTGGAAAATGGTGCAAGCACATCAAATATATCTTCAATTGCTAGAAAAGAAAAGTCAGGATGTGATCAGCTTCCAAAGGAGATGCATGAAATGAGAATCAGAGATGAGAGAACATCGAGCCATGATGAGAAGGTATACTTTATCATTATTAATAATTCCTGTTTATTTCCTTTCTGTTTATTTTATTATGATGCTTTATAGTTTTCTTCTCTCTCAGAAACAAAATGTTTTCTTTTGATTATTTAAAAAAAAAGTTTTCTTTTGTTGAATTTATCTCTCCACTCAACTTTTTACGACGTTGAAAGAACAAAATAACTCTTAAAAGGCATATGTTAGTTTATGCTAGTTTTTAGATTATGTCTCTTGGCTATTAGAAGAATAATCTTGTGCAAGAATTGACAAAATGGCTGTCATACTGAATCAAAGGATCAGTTGTTCGTGAAGAGTATAAATATGTGATATTTATTTCCTGATGTAAAAAAAAAAAGTGGTATTTATTTCCTTTTGTAGCACTTATATTCATGGGGATCTGATGAAACCTGATTGGATTTATTTACTTTAACGTTCACGGTATAGCTGAACGCTGTTTACTGTATCATTTAGTGTTGGCACTATAAAAGGAAGGAAAGTGATTGGGTCATTTTTGAAATTCTCTTTGTGTTATTCAGTATGGGATTGAAAAGGATTTTTCAGAGATTTTTAGTGATTATCTACCTGAAATGTGGGTTATTTAGAAATTTTGTTGATGGAAGGCATTAATCTTTACCTAGTTTATCTTGAAACTCGGTGATTATTTGATTAATAATATTGCAACTTTGCAACATGTAGGATACGGAGACGACAATTATTAATGGTAATGGAACAGAAACAGGCCAGATCATTGCAACTACTGTAGGTGGTCGGAATGGGCAGCCGAAGCAGGTTATTTGGCGCATCTTAATATTTGTTATTGCATACTTCATTTTATGCTTCTTCCTGCCTACCTTCTGTGGTTGCAGATAGTCTTTAGGAGCCTATTGTTTGTAATTTTTACTCTACACCCAATTCTTCAGAAAATTCTCTACATCATTATTGATCTGGTTTCGGACGCTTGTCTAGATATAGGCTCCTTTAAAATGATTCATTTCTATGAACAAAAAAATTTCTAAAGATTCTTGCATCATCTTGTTTCCAGACAATATCATATATGGCAGAGCGTGTGGTTGGAACTGGTTCCTTTGGTGTTGTCTTTCAGGTACTCGGAACCGATCTGGTAGTTTGATTTCTTGGTCTCAGTTTTTTCCACTTTAGGTTCAATCAAATTTTGATTTTCTTTTTCTTTTCAAAATTAGGCTAAGTGCCTAGAAACAGGTGAACAAGTAGCAATCAAGAAGGTTTTGCAGGACAAGAGATACAAGAATAGAGAGCTCCAGAT